GGGTTTGAACCTTCGACCTTTTTGTTAGCAGCCAAATGCCTCAATCACTGAGCCACTAGAGCCCCTACGTGCTAGGATAAATTATTTTTCCTTATAAACTTGAAAGATTCTTTGCCAATGATTGTAATAAAAACCAATTAGAACTAGAAGTGACTTCATCCTAAAAAATTGGTAACAGTCACTTCTTTTTTTTAATGTCAGCTTATTTCAGTCAGGAAAAAGAGTCAATACAGAACTGTTATTTATAATCACCACCAATGAGAAAGTACTACTCTAAAGACAGAGCCAGAAAATCATGAATGTGTTAATACCAAAATGTCTTAGAATTTATCTAGTCTATACCATTTTATGGAATTCACATCATTAATTCTGAACAGCAGATTTTATTTCAGATCAAATTAATTCTAAATTATAAATGTACACGAACAGTATCCATTATATTTCTGAAGTAGAAACACACACATAACACTTACACACCTTTAATTTATTAATATGCAGAAAAAGACTTAGTTGAGATTCTAAAACTTATATCACATCACAGTTGACTCTTCTACACTAAGCTGGAAACACACAGGTGGGAAAGGAGCTAGAAGCACAAAGCCTTGTTTCTCAACAGAACCCTTCCTATCTGGCCATCACCCCCAACCTGCTCCCTCCTAAACTGGCAGGGCACAGACAGTCAAGGATGCCCCTAGCCATTTACAAGGAATAGAAGAGAAAGATACCTTGGGAGACCTAACACAAAAAACACTTCCGCAGTCATGGCTTCCTTTCCCCTCTGCTTTTTCCTCTCCTCCCTTTCCATGTTCATTCCCTCTTTAGCTTTGCCCCACTTTTAATTTTCAGCTAGCTCTTTTTAACCTCTTCCTCATTTTTCCTGAGTGGACAGCATTTAGTAAGATATTGTCTAAGGCAGGGAAAGAGCTTAAAAACAAAGTGTTATAGATGACGAGAGATGGCAAAGACAGACAGATACAGTGAGATAATTTTAGTTATCTCCGTATCATGAAACCCATGAAGCCCTTTCCAAAGAGTACACAACGCTACAATATCAAGAAACACGTTTTAGACCCTGAAAATTTCGTTCTTGTTATTACTAATCTCTGATTAGGAATAGAGAAAAAATACTGTATTTAAGCAAAAACAACTTTCTACCCTACAATATCTTATTTTAAAACAAACTAAGTTTGCTTAAGTTAAAGAAAAAATTATTTCTTACATAAGAGCTGAAAGCTTCTGATGAGGCATTGGTCATCGAAGAGACAGGGAAGAAAGCCTTCTCCTTGTTTGTTGTGACAAAGAAACCCTACTTTCCCTGCCCCAGCACAACCTACACAAATTCCAGACATGGTGGAGGACACAAGGGCACATTGTGGGCCTGACAGACAGCAGTGATTAGGACTCTCAGCAGTCATCTACAAGCAGGAAAAAAACAAATTAAAAACTGGACCAATTAATTGTATTTGCCAACATGTGTGGCAGATTCCCATCCCCACTGAAAGCTGGATGAGATGAAACAATTACATAATGTAAGAGCATAAGGACAAGAAGCTTTAAAATATGCAGGGGAGGGGCGATTCCTACTTCACATCAAACACAGAAAATAAATTCCAGACAGAATAAAGATCTAAAGACAAAAAACAAAATTTTTAGAAAACAGTATAGAGAATAAACTAATGAGACAACGGTTTCTTTAAGACACAAAAAGCAAAATCCATAAGGAAAAGACTGCTACATTGAACTAAGTTAAAATTCAAAACTTTTGTGCAACAAAATTTATGAACAAAAAAGCAAGTCCCAATGCCTCTGGACCGGCAGCTGGGTAAAAGAGGAGCAGGAGTGAGAGGGAAATTTCATTACATGCTCTTTTGTATTCTCTGGATTTTTGAACCAAGTGAACATACTATCCATTCATAACAAATAAATAAATAAATTTAAAACTTAAAAAGTAATAGTAAAAGAGAACCCATAAACTGGAAAAAGACATCTACTGTGCATATAACTAACAAAGAATTAGTATTCAGAATTTATCAGTATGCCTAAAAATTGATAAGACATTCAATTCAAAATTAAGCAAAGGATATAATCAAGTAATCCATAGACGAGGGGGCCTAAATGAATAAAAAACATTTGAAAAGAAACTCAACCTCACACGTTGTCAGGGTAAAACATATTAAAAAAAAAAAAGGTTGTTGTTGTTATATGCCGTCGAGTCGGACCTGACTCATAGCAACCCCTCCTTGGGTTTCCGAGGCAGTATCACTACAGAAGTAGATTGCCTCATCTTTCTTCTGAGGAGGGGCTGGTGGGTTTGAACAACCAGCCTTCTGGTTAGCAGTCAAGTGCCTTAGGCACTACGCTACCAGTTTATCTACTCATCACATTGGCAAAAATTATCAGATTCAGGCAATATCTTTTTATTCCTAGTTTGCTAGGAATTTATTTATTTATTTTAAATGATGAGTCAATGATTTATCAAATGCTTATTGTGTATCTATTGACAATCATACGGGTTTTTCTTTTGTTAATGTGATCAATTACACTGATTAATTTCCTAAAGTTAAACCAATCTTGCATTTCAAGAATAAGCCCAACTTATATTATCCTTTTTATATATTGCTGAATTTGGTTTGAGTTTGTTTAGATTTCTCCATATATATTCATAAGTGAGACTGGCTTGAGATTTTCCTTTTCTGTAATTTCTTCATTAGGTTTTGTATCAATATTGTGCTGGCTTTATAAAGTTTGGGAGCTCTGGTGGCGTAGTGCCTAAGGCATCTGACTGCTAACCAAAAGGCTGGCAGTTCAAACCCACCAGCCACTCCTCAGAAGGAAGATTGGGCAGTCTACTTCCATAGTGATACTGCCTCCGGAAACCCAAGGAGGGATCACTATGAGTCAGATCCAACTCAACGGCAGTGGATTTAATTTGGTTTTTGGTTTATAAAGTTAGTTGGGGAGTATGTCTTATTTTTCTATTTTCTAGAAAAGTTCATGTGAGATTAGTGTTATTTCTTCCTTAAATGTTTGATTTAATTGGCTGATGAAACAATGTGGACCTAAAGTTCTCTTTGTGGGAAACTTTTTAATTACATATTCAATTAATTTTATGTAACAGGACTATTCAAATTTTCTATTTCTTCTTGTGTTCATTTTGGTAAAATGCATACTTCTAATAATTTCTCTATTTCACCTAAATTTTCAAACATTATTGACATAAATTTGTTAATAATATTTCCTTACAGTCTTTTTATAATCTCTCTAGGTTCTGCAGTAGGAGCTCTGGTAGCATAGTGCCTAAAGCATTTGACTGCTAACCAGAAGGCCAGTTCAAATCCACCAGCCACTCCTCAAAAGGAAGGTTGGGCAATCTACTTCTGTAGTGATACCTCCTCGGAAACCCAGGAGGGGTCGCTGTGAGTCGAGTCCAACTCGGCAGTGAGATTTTTGGTTTAGGTTCTGCAGTAAGACCCCTCTCTTTGTTCCTGATATTGGTCATTTGTCTTTTCTCTCTTTTTTTATTTATAAGTCTTATCAGAGATTTATTGATTCTACTAGTTTTCTCAAGGTTTTAACAATTGGCTTTGTTGAACCTCTCTATTGCATGTTTATTATTTATTTTCTTAACTTCTGCTACTATCTTTATTATTTTCTTCCTTCTACTTTCCTTACACAATTCAGAACAAAATCAGAGGGAATGGATGATCTTTTCACTAAGTGGTGCAGGGACATTTGAATTTCTGTAAGGAAAAAGTAAAAATTACACAAAGATCAACTGCAGGTGAATTATAAATCAAAAGGTGAATAGCAAAGCTAACAAACTTCCTGAAAGGTGATTAAAAAATAACATATTCTGAGACTGCCAGTAAGATGGAGGAACAGGCAGACAAGCCACACAGACCCTCTTCAACAAAGAAAAGAAAAACCAATTGACAGAAATACAGAAGATAATCCTGGAGCCCTGAACTTTGAAAGGAAGTATACAGAAGTGGATTAGGCACCAACTAGGAAAAACCTGAACAAAAACAGTGAGTATGGAGACGGTTGGAGCAGTGGACAGTCAGCTACTCTGATAGGAGCAACAGTGTGAATATTTCCAAGTAGTGCTGGGACCTGAAAATTGACCTAAAGATCAGCCCTGGTCACCAAGGGCTGCAGGGACAATTGAGCTGGTGGCCTATGACTAGGAAGGGAAACAGCAAGGAGGGAGACAACCTGAGCTGTGGACTTTCGGCAGTCCAGAGGGCACAGCCATTTTAATTGTTAACAAGCAGCGGCTATATTGGATATTTAAAGTGACCAAGGGCACAGCCATTTTGAATGTTTACAAATGGTGGCCATTTTTTATTTTAAAGTGACAGCATTCTCATTCAGACTCCAGGGACCTAAGAATAGGCTTTCTTTGCCAAGGATGGCAGGGACAAATGGGAGGTTGACAACAGGAAAAGAGACAGGTGGTGAATGTATAAATGCTGCCAACTAGTGAATAGAGGAGCACAGCACTGTATCCTGCTTACACAGATAACATACAAACAAAACAAAGAAAACAAAAATTGTGGGCAAGTCACTCCAACATACAATCACCAATTAAATATAAACACAAAAATGTCACAATGCCTTGGAGACAATAGAGCATCACAGTCCACACAAAGAAGCAAGATAAAGCAGGAGACACAAGGGACCAGGATACAGACCCAAAACACATCCCTGAGGAAGACACAGCATTGGAATTCACTAGTAAGGATTCAAAAGAATTATATTTAGGTACCTACAACGAATTGAGAGACAGGTCAAAAAAAACACTGACAAAATTGAGGAAAACACAGAGAAACCCCTAGAACAATTTCAAAAGACAGTACGAGAACAAAATGACAAAATAAATGAAAAATTAGAAATGACACAAAATCTACAGACAGAAATCCAGAAGATTGATACTAAATTTTCAGAAATAGATATAACACACTGAACGGG